AAAAGTTTGAGACTATAGAAAAGTTTGAGACTATAGAAAAGTTTGAGGATTTGGATTCAACCATCGACACTTGCCTTATTTACCAAGTGATCAGGGTGTGTGTACAACACAAGTTGTGTGTTAAGTGCACAATAATTGGAATCACTTATCACATGCAACTAATTTAAATTGTACCAGTTTTAATCCTTTCACTTCTAAATCTACTGGCTATATTTCAAAGGCTGAAAATACTTCAAAAAGCAGGCAGGCATTCTTAGAAAGTTATATAATGAATATTGAACATCAAGGCCAATTGGAACTAAAGCATTTCTGTACTTATTACGCCTTTGAATAAATCATGTGTTTTTTTTTCATTTCTGTTGTCTAAATTCTATAGGTTCTTGAAAGTGTTAGCAAGCAAGGAGTAGTGACTGTCAGTCAAAGTTTGCCTGGAACTTTAGCAACAACTGTCAAGTAGTCTTGGCTTTGACATTCAAAGCAAACAGAGTTGATGTCAGATGGGACAATGGCTCACACACAATAATTTAAACTAGTGCCTCTGGGTTAGGGAATGAAATACTTGGTGGTACCCCAGCTGCTTATCCAAAGCAGAGGTGACTGGCTTCAAAACCATGATGTATTCCATTCATTAACAGTTGTTCAAATTAGCAGTGGGGTGGTAATTGCCAATTCGCTCCTTTCTTTTACTCTGAAATGGCAGCCTCTGCTTTAACCTACTTTGTTGATTCAATGCTGACCAGGAATGTTTCCCAAGCCTGAGGAAACACAGCAAGTTAAAGTGAGGCAAATACAGCTTCAGGTGAAATTGCTTCTCACCTGCCATTTCTTCCACCAGACTACCTAGCTGAGGGCATCTCAAACATCTGCCTGGCCACCCAACCAGTTATAGGCAATTTTTCAGAGATAGTAAGAACTGCCGATGCTGGAATCAGAAATAACACAGTATGGAGCTGGAGAACACAGCAGGCCAGGTGGCATCAGAGGAGCAGGAAAGTTGACGTTTCAGGTCAGGACCCTTCTTCAGAAATGTCAGAAGGGTCCTGACACGAAACGTCGACTTTCCTGCTCCTCTGATGCCGCCTGGCCTGCTGTGTTCCTCCAGCTCCACACTTTATAGGCAATTTTTCTGTGGCTGTACTCCCTCAGCCAACAGGAGGTCAGGCTTATCAATCACTATCACTCCAGACAGAGAACCTATCAAATCAAACTCACTGAGCTGTCAAAACTCCACAGCAAACTGGGAAACTCAAATTTCCAAGTTTCTCACTGGAAACTCAACCCCTCCCAACTGTCCTCGGCTTCAGTTACAGCAAAGCATCGCTGGTCTTGACAGTCACAGACAGATAGCTGATTTGACTAGGAAGAATGAAGATGTGACTACGAAATAAAACAGCATCAAAACCTCAATACTCATCAATATGTACAATGAAATCGGAGTGGGCTTACCTGCATACAGTTGGTAAACATGACACACACGGACATAAGTTTTGAAAAAATCTTCAGCAGCACTGTATTAGTCAACATACAATCCTTCATACAATTGTCCAGAAAACTGGTATGATAGCTCAAAACTTCATCAATATTAGATGCCTAATGAAGTAGTAAACAATAACACAAATTATGAAAAGTACTGATTAACCATAGGATACTTCACACATACTTTAATTAAATACTGCTTTATGATTAAGATGGTAGGGGAGTGCTGAATGTTATCCATAATTTAAACCTTTAAAAATATGTTGCTTGAGTTCTAAGAAGCTTCATTTAAGAGTTACAAAACTGAATAGGTAACTTTGAATCAGAGATAGTAGGAACTGCAGATGCTGGAGAATCCGAGACAACAAGGTGCAGAGCTGGATGAACACAGCAGGCCAAGCAGCATCATAGGAGCAGAGAGGCTGACGTTTCGGGCCTAGACCCTTCATCAGAAAAGGGGGAGGGGAAGGGGGTTCTGAAATAAATAGGGAGAGAGTGGGAGGCGGATAGAAGAGGGATAGAGGAGAGGATAGGTGGAGAGGAAACAAACAGGTCGAAGAGGCGGGGATGGAGCCAGTAAAGGTGAGTGTAGGTAGGGAGTTAGGAATGGGATAGGTCAGTCCAGGGAGGACGGACAGGTCAAGGGGGCGGGATGAGGTTGGTCGGTAGGAGATGGAGGTGCGGCTTGAGGTGGGAGGAGGGGATAGGTGGGAGGAAGAACAGGTTAGGGAGGCAGGGACGAGCTGGACTGGTTTTGGGATGCAGTAGGGGGAGGGGAGATTTTGAAACTTGTGAAATCCACATTGATACCATTGGGCTGCAGGGTTCCCAAGCAGAATATGAGTTGCTGTTCCTGCAACCTTCGGGTGGCATCGTTGTGGCACTGCAGGAGGCCCAGGATGGACATGTCGTCTGAGGAATGGGAGGGGGAGTTGAAATGGTTCGCGACTGGGAGGTGCAGTTGTTTATTGCGAACCGAGCGTAGGTGTTCTGCAAAGCGGTCCCCGAGCCTCCGCTTGGTTTCCCCGATGTAGAGGAAGCCACACTGGGTACAGCGGATGCAGTATACCACACTGGCAGATGTGCAGGTGAACATCTGCTTGATAACTTCATAGGTTCCTAAATTGTGTTTAATAGGTGAATGCAAAAATTTTCTTTGGGTCATTGTCATGATCAGCCACTGGAGAAACATTTGCAAAGACCTCAAGTGGACCATAGGAACAAGTCTGCAATGATCTTCAGTTGAAGTTACGGTGTCTATTTAGGTGAACAGCTATTTTGATAGGCCAGAATGCCACCCCTTCCACCTCCAAATATAAAGCTGTCTCTAAGTAGTGCTAATTATTATTCAGCATGCAAAATAATGATGCACAACATCAATATACAAAATTAGTATCCAGTAACTGGTTGGAAAAATTTTTAAAAATTCATTCATGAGATTTGGACATCACTGGTTGGGCTAACAGTTATTATCCATCCTTTATTGCCTTGGAGAAGACGATGGCAAGTTTCCTTCTTTAAATTGCAGTCTTTGAGGTGTAGAGACACCCATAATGCTAGTGGGAAGGGAGTTCCAAGATTTTGACCCAGAGACAGTGAAGGAACGTCCAAGTCAGGATGGTCTAGAGCTTGCAGGTGAAACTGCAGGTTGTGTTGTTCCCATGCATTTAATGTCCTTGTCTTTCTAGGTGGTGGATGCTGTAAATTTGGGAAGTGTTATTTAATGAATCAGTGAGTTGTTGCAGTGCATCTTATAGATGGTACATTCTGCTGTCATTGTGCTTCAGTGGCGGAGGGTGCAATGTTTAAGGTATTAGACAGGGTGCCAATTAAGCAGGCTGTTTTGTCCGAGGTGGTGTCAAGCTTCTTGAGTGTTGTTGGAACTGCATTCATCCAGGCAAGTGAAGAGTATTCCTTCACTCTCCTGAGGTGCTGCATCTTGGAAAGGCAAATCAGGGCAGGTCTTATACACTTAATGGTAAGGTCCTGGGAAGTGTTGCTGAACAAAGAGTCCTTGGAGTGCAGGTTCATAGTTCGTTGAAAGTGGAGTTGCATGTGGATAGGATAGCAAAGGCGGCATACGGTATGCTTGCCTTTATTGGTCGGTGCATTGAGTACAGGAGTTGGGAGGTCATGTTGGGACTGTACAGGACACTCATTAGGCCACTTTTGGAATACTGCCTGTAATTCTGGTCTCCCTGCTATAGAAAGGATGTTGTGAAACTAGAAAAAGCGTTCAGAAAAGATTTACAAGGATGTTGCTACGGTTGGAGGGTTTGGGCTATAGGAAGAGGCTGAATAGCCTGGGGCTATTTTCTCTGGAGCATCGGAGGCTGAGGGGTGACCTTACAGAGGTTTATAAAATCATGAGGAGCATGGATAGGGTAAATAGACAAGGTCTTTTCCCCGGGGTGGAGGAGTCCAAAACTAGAGGGCATAGGTTTAATGTGAGAGGGAAAAGATTAAAAAGGGACCTAACAGGCAACTTTCTTATGCAGTGGGTGGTGTGTGTATGAAATGAGCTCCCAGCAGAAGTGGTAGAGACTGGTACAATTATATCTAAAAGGTGTCTGGAAGGGTTGAGAGAGATATGAGCCAAATGCTCGCAAACGGTACTAGATTTATTTAGGATATCTGGTCAACATGGTTCAGATGGACTGAAGAGTCAGTTTCCATGCTGTACATCTCTATGACTCTATGACTTATGCCTTGTAGATGGCACAGGCTTTGAAGAGTCAGCAGGTGAGTTACTTGCTGCAGGATTCCTGGCCTTTGACCTGTCAAAATGGCTGAGACAAGTGACTTTCAATAAACCACAACTACTTTCCTTCGTGCTAGGTACGACTCTAACCATTATAGAGGCTTCCCGCTGAGTTCCATTGTCTGTTGTTTTGATAAAGCTCCTTGATCCACTTCGGGTGAAGTGATGCCTTGTTGTTGAGGGTAATTACCCTTAAGGTCAGCATTTTTGTCCACATTTGCACCAAGGCTGTAATGAGGTCAGGAGCCAAGTGGGCCTCGTGGAAAAAAAACTAAACCAACATCTTCCATCACTTTGCTGATGATTAAAAGCAGACTGATATAACAGTAATAGGCTGGATTCGATTTTCCTGCTTTTCGTGGACAGGGCGTCTCAGGGCAATTATCCATATTGCTAAGTAGACGTCAGTGTTGTAGCTGTACAGGAACAGTTGGCTAGTCAGTGCACATAGACTTTGCAATATTCAGTCCCTTCAACCATTTCTTGACATTATTGAAATTAATTTTATGCTAAATTATCTTCATGTCTAGAACCAGGTAGTTAGCAATTAAATAAACATCTTGGTCCTAATCAAAAACATATAGATTCATGGATTGTAACTCAGGCGAATAGCTTATCATTTCCAAGTTATCATAAGACACATGATTTTGCTTTAGAGTACCCTGATCTTTACATCGTTCACTTTCTGGGTAGAATCAGGAAAGAGGCAGCAGCAGAAATCAGTATTATTATTATAAATTGGGTTTGAGACAAAAATGGACAACATTAAAAAAAAAATTCAGGAACTTGCATATTCTAATGAACTGACAACAGCACAGAATGCAAAGAACTGCAATATAACCGAGGAAGCCTAGGAATAGCCATTCCACTTTGGGCTTCAAGGATGGCAACTTTCCAACTTCACCCACAGATGTACCAAGACTTCGAGCAAAACTTCCAGCACCAGGCCATTTGCCTAATCAGAACTCATCACACTTAAAAACTAAATGTTAAATATTTGAAAGAGAATTAAATCCATTTCTGTTATTGGACGACTGCATGGAATCTAGTCTCTTACTTAACAATCATATGTTCAATCCAAGGACGATACAATGTTTTCTTATTTCCAGGTATGTCTATAAGCAGCTGCAGCGATGTACAGTATGTGTAACAAGCAGAAAGCAACAATCTCAGACCGGTTGCATTCATCTTAGTTAGCAAAACCGTTTCAAAATCCATTTCCAGAAGAGCACCATACCACTGAATACACTGGATCCTGAATTGATTGAAGGTAGTCAGACATCTGAGGTACAACTGCAAGCTGACCCAAGTTCCAGGAATTTGCACACAAAAGGCATTTATACTATAGTTTTGAGCACCTTTCTAGTTGCTGACGATTCTCTCTTTACATATGCTAACACGTTGTTTTATGTTCAGTAGAACAAATAGATTTTGGGGGTCTACGTGCTTAAATTGTTGAAAATGGCAGGGTGGAGTTGAGAAAATAGTTAAAAAGGATTATAGGATCCTGGGATTTATAAAATAGAATAAAAAAAAGGCACCACACTTTCAGAAAAATGTGAAGATTTTACAGAAGATGCAGAAAAGATTTATGAAAATGTTTCCAGGGATGAGGAACTGCAGTTACAAGACAGGCTGGAGTTGTCTTCCTTAGAGAAAAAATACGATAGTAACATTCAAAATAATGAGGGGTCTAGACAAAGCAGATTGAGATAAACTATTACCATAGGCAGAAAGGCAAACCCAGAAGACAGAAATTTAAGGTGATTGACAAAAGAACCAAAGACGACAAGAGGAAAGACATCTTTAATGCAGTTAGGCCCTAGAATGCACTGTCTGTGACTGTGATGGAGACAGATTCAATGATAGTTTTCAAAACGGAACTGGATAAGCAACTGAGGAGAATAAAAAATGTCAGGGCTACGAGGAGAGGGTGGTGCAGTAAGAGTAGTTGTTTTGATCTTGTGAAGAGACAGCATGAACATAATGGATTGAATGGCCTCCTACTGTGTTATAACCAATGATTTTGTTCTATGCTTCCATGACAAATAAAATTTTAAAATTCTTTTTCAGTGTTAACTACAGAACAGGAAATGTCCTGTATTTCTGGGCACCAAAGGCCAATTTCTTTACTTCAATTTCAAGGATAAATTACCCTCTCAAGGCACAGTACAAACAAACACAGCTGCCATTTAAAGTCGTACGCTGTGTGAGCAAAGAAAAAGCTGCGTTCAAATCACCAATGACAATATTCTATTGTATAAATTTTGGCATCTATGGTTCTAAGCTACAATCTTGGCAGATGTCCTTTTACTTTAAGTGTGAACAACACTAATGTTTTAAAACTGGAAACAGCGTTTGACTGAGATTGAATGACCACCAAATGTACATCTGAAGTATCTATAACCCAAACACTTCTGTCCTTACTAGTATCCATAATAAGGCAATGATGGAGTTCTAACAAACAACAACCAAAAACAATAATTTCAATGTGAAAACATTGAAGACATATTTCTATTTCAAATACTTTCAATTATAAATATTAATAGAATATATACTACAGCCAGTATTAATAAGGGCATAAATAACTATGAAATCTTGTCTAAATATTTTAATAAGTACCATGAGACAGCATGACAACAATATGGTTAGTGTACATTTTGATTTAATTAGCTGTCTCTACAGTAATGTCTTCCACATTTAGGTTACGATTCCTCAGTAATTTTTCCATTATTGCCAAAAGGTTTACGTGAGGTTAGTGAGTAGGAAAAACAAAACATATTCAGAGTATTCATTAAAACTAAATGCTTTTAACAGCAGGTAATTTATATTTGCTTAATGTAATTTACCTCATGATTATAACTGAAAAGAAATGCTGAGCTAATCTTTTCCACATTGTCCAGGTTAAAAGCTGCACAGCGCAAAGTACAGTACCAACTGTCCAGGAGTTTGGCAATATTTTATACATTAAAATGGTTTCAGCAAAATACTAGGTGAAAGTGTGGTACCATTAGACTTCTGTAAATTGGTCTCCAGCTATTTTGAAGATTTTAATTACTTACGGATTTTAGATTATTTTCCATAATGTGCCAATTTGGCTCCATAACCTCAAACATCATGTAATACTGAATGTTCTGCACAAAATTCAGCATTCGCTGTCTCAAAGTGAAAGCTGCAGCAAACCTATTGGAAAAAGCAACACTTATGGTGAACATCTAAAACCTGAACTATCGAAATCCTATAAATAAAATCCCCATATTCAGGACAAAAAGGTGAGAATAAAATTGGTTTTGTCTATCACTTTTTCACAATAAGATGCCTTAAACAGTTTATATGTCAAGTTTTGCCTCAAGTTTAAATGGCTATAATTCCCCGTTCTCTTCCTCATAAAAGTTCAGAGTGAAACATGCTTGTAAAAACAAAAAAATTACCCAAAACTAAAACGTATCAGAGACATGAACCTTGGCTCTGTGGTACCATTTCCAATCAAGTCAGAAGGCTATGCATTCGAGCTCCACTTCAGGCAGTATCATTGAGAACAGAAGCAAAGCTCTGGTCTCTGAATACCAGGTTTACATCTAGCAGGACACTCATGTTTGAGGAGAATGATGTGACTCTACTGTAGCAAACAGGAGGCAGAGCTCCAGCACCCAAATACTAAATTGACGACTCATGTCTAATGGGACATTAGGTGATAACTTCCCCACTACAATATATGCCCAGGCACTTCTCTTGGTTACAGCGTTGACTCTGGCAATTGACCTGCCCATTTATGAAGGGACTTGGTTATGGGAATGGTTGGCTCATATGCTGTTTGACAAGAGAGAGAATGAGAGCGTGATTGGACAAGTTAACATCTGTTTCTGCTGATACCAATTCTGAATCCATGTCTTCACAAAAACAATGCGTTATACTATAACCTTTAAAGGATTAAAATGCTTTTGAGGAATAGACATTTTGCATATTAGGTTTGAAATATTTATAACAGTCTTTGAATAACTGGGAGTAATTCACATAATGAATACATATTTGTAAATTGTGACTAACTTCAATTTAAGAAAGAATGAATCAATGTGGTTAGCATTAGGAACAAGTAGGCAACGTCTCAAAACAAAAAACGACACCATGACAGATCAAATTGAATATTCATCCAATTACATGTCTCAAAAGAATTCTGTCAGATATTTTCTTGTGGTTTCACCCACTCCACTGCTGAAATTATGGGAACTGATTGGGTGAATCCAAAGAAGTTTCCAGTCAGTGTGTCTTGTGCATATGAAGTATGAGCCACACCTTGTATTCTGCACAGATGGCAATGATGGAGCTCATTAAACATGTTGGGTGGATAAATGCCATAAGGTTTCTCAATTTACAAAAAAATACTGCTCAATGGAATTCTCATGTAAGAACCGCAATTTTTAGGCTTGGTTTCAATCAGCTAAAGTGTATTTACTTTATTCAATATAAATAGCTATTAATTCATATAATATTTAAACAAAATGCCAAAAATGAACAAGTAGCATTTTAATAAGTGGATCCATATGTTGTTCTCCACATTCTTACCCTATGCTCTTTTGACTGGCTAAACTACATATTTTACATCTTCCATATAAAAAGTGGATGTATTTTAAAGGACATTTGTCACAATGCAAGCTCTAATAGTCAGATCATTGATAATGTGAGCCTATATAATTTTGTACAATTTACACAAATTGCAAGTCCATTTGGTCCATGAATTAAATTGAAATGATGCTATTTTCATTCAAGCAATGTATGATGTGCATCTTTAAGTTCTATTAGAAAAAAAATGGCTCTGCTGTAAAATGTGAAAGAATCTGAACATTTCAAAATTGGCTTATGAGCCAACATATCCAGAGATGGAGGCTTACAATAGTTTGAAATACACTATTCCAGTAGCAACACAGCAATGCAGTAAATCTTGAGAACGCATGGTACACCTTGTTCCAAAACATACTTACCATTTAGCAGAGTGTAATGAATACTGTTTTGCAACTTTATTACTGATCCACACGTTGCACAGCTGCCGTTCCACATGTTTGCAGTAAAACATATGTCTGAAGAGCATTTGATACCTAGTCAAAGCTTTCCTATTGAGAATAAACAAATGAATAGTAAGCTTACAGAAATGCAACACTAGAAACAGAAATGAGATCTTTATGGGCAATGTTTGTTGGAACAACTACATAAAGCCTCTTTTACACAGATGTTTAGAATGCATCTTATGGCATCATGTTTTCAAACTGTATGCATATAATTTTGAATCTCAGTATTCTGCTAAAAAATTGTTGCATTATTGTTCCTAATGCCTTCTAGAATTTTACCACATAGAGGGGATGGGTTAGCTCAGCTGGCTGAATGACTGGTTTGTGAAGTAGAGTGATGCCAGCAGCATGGGTTGAACTCCTTTACTAGCTGAGGTTACCATGAAGGTCTCACCTTCTCAATCACTCCCCTCGCCTGCGACATGATGACCCTCAGGTTAAAATCACCACCAGCTGCCTCTCTCTAATGAAAGCAGCCTTATGATTCTCTGGAACTATGGCGACTTTACCTTTAAAATGCAAAGTAATGTTATGCAAGTTTGGAATCATCCATGATATAATGACAGAAGGTCTCTCCAGCATTTGTTGTGAAAGTATCAGGTTTGCTTTTAAAGTTAAAACTAAACTATTATTCACTATCATAAAGTTAACGTTTATAGTTGTCTCTACTTGATACTTGAGAATGATATGTAGCTTCTCGTACTTTAAATATAGTTCACCTTCCATTTATCAAATAAGTGCTCTCACACAGAACAGGAAAACATGGATAGCCTCCCTTTCGGAAACTCATTCATACCATTCCAGGGCATTTAGCTTCAACTCCATCGTTTTAAAGAAGTCTTGTGATTAGAGGTAGGAGGAGAGCAAGAATGGCAAGAAATCAAAAGTACAAAAACATGAAATATAACAACAAGCTGCATGTGTCTGAGAAAATTACTGAAGGTAAGAAGGACAGTATTTACACACTGACTCAACTAGAATCAAACAATGAGGGACAGTCACTTACTTATTGCATGTAACACATTCATGTCGTTAACTCCCATGTTCTCCACCCAACAAGTCAATTGTGTGCAACATGTAAAACAAAAGTTTTGGAGGTAGGGAAACACCACTGAAGCCAGTTTGCAGCACAGCAATTGATAGTTTGAGTGATTAGATCAAGTCAATAATGCTTAATGATTTCAGATTTATTATTCCAAGTATTTATTTTGCAAATAGTGTTAAGCTTTCTATATTTGACCAGCAAATGTCACAAGACTTCAAAGCTGATTCAATCCTTGAAACACTTTGAGGAGCCTGACACAATTTTTAGATTAGTTCATCGGGTGAGAGTGACGCAGACTAGACCAGAACTTATTTGTCCATCCCAAATTACTCTGCAGAAGGTGACAGTGAGCTGCGATTATGGACTGCAGCTGTTCTTGGCGTATAGGGATACCTAATGGCTGTTAGGAAGGGGGTTGAGAGCTGTTCATTGGAATTTGACCCAGCAATAGTGGAGGAACAGCAATATCATTCCAAGTCAGAAACAAAAACAAAGTTGCTGGAAAAGCTCAGCAGCTCTGACAGCATCTGTGAAGGAGAAAACAGTTAAAAGTTTTGGGTCCGACCTGAAACGTTAACTGTTTTCTCCTCCACAGATGCTGCCAGACCTGCTGAGCTTTTCCAGCAACTTTGTTTTTGTTCCTGATTTACAGCATCTGCAGTTCTTTCAGTTTTTATTCCAAGTCAGGATGGTGCCTCACTTAAGAAGTGAAATTGCAGGCAGTGAGGTTTCCAGATATCTGCTTCTCTTACCTTTCTGTTGTACAGGTTGAAAGTGCTGTTGAAGGTGCCTCAGTGAGTTACTGCAGTGCATCTTGTAGATGGTACACTGATGCCACTGTGCACTGGTGAAGGAAATGAATGTTCAAGATGGTGATATGGTACCCGTCAAGAAGGCTGATTTGTCCTGGATAGTGCTGAGCTGCTTGAATGTTGTTGGCACAACACCCATTCAGACAAGTGAACAGCAAACCATTACATTCTTGACTTCTGAATGCTGGACAGGATCTGGGGAGTCAGAAGGCAAGGTACACACCCAGAATTCCTACTCTCATATCCACAGTATTTATATAGCTTTTCCAGTTTTAGTTTTTTGTCAATGGTAACCCTTAGAATGTGATAGGTGAGGTGCAGTGATGGTAATGCCATTGAATGTCAAGGGGCAATGTTTAGGTTCTCTCTTGTTGGTGATGATCATTGTCTGGCACTTGTGCAGCATGAATGTCACCTGCCACTTATCAGACCAAGTGTGCAATGATGTCTATATCTTGCTGCACTGGGACGTAGACTGCTCCAGTACCCAAGGAGATGTGAAAGTACTGAATATGGTGCAAACATTAGGAAACATCCCTATTTTGGCTCTTATGATGGACTGAAAGCCATTTTTAAAACAGCTCAAGGCGGTTGAGCCTAGACCACCACCCTAAAGAACTCCTGTAGTGACGTCTTTGGACTGAGATGATCTATAGTCATAACCATCTCCCTTTATGCTAGGCAGGACTTCAGAGTACACAATTCACACCGACTCCATTAAAGTCAAGCTTTGTGATGTCAAGGGTAGTCAAATAATAGGTGCTTTACAAATACTTTTTTTTCCCAAACTAATTTCCTTATTGTAGCTTTGCAATTAAATTTGAAATTTTTGCTACAGAAAACAAAAAAAACCTCCCTTGACTGTCTCAGTACAAGAGATTATTAGCCTTGCACATTGTGTAGATCTTACTCTTATTTAATTTTAAATTAAAGCAATCAAAACCTATTTTTAATAAAATTAAAAATCCTACAAAATAAATCCGTGAAATGCATTGAACATAAGCTTATTTAATAAGGGATTCAAATTTCATATAGACATTCACTGCCAAGCTTCCCAGGTATCTGTAACAACCCTGAATTCCATTGAGTATCAGCTAACTGAACTTCCTGCCAGACAGATGATTGCTGGCATATGAATTCTCAGTAAGCCGGGTGACATATCCTGCCTGGAAATCAGTCAGAAAGCTGAATGTCACAGCATAATGGGTTGTGGTCAAAAAAAAAAAATCCTATTAACAGCAAATCTTTTCCACTGATATCATGGTTTTATAATTAAAAAAAAGACTTAATATGCTGATAAAAAGAACTAAGTACCACTGGAATGAGAACTTACAAACTAGCTTCACTGCTACTTCATGATCAATATGAAAAATTCAGAAGTTTTGAAGTACCTTTTTAGATCTGAGTTAACTTACATCGATATGGATTAAAAATACATCAAAAATTGGACGTGGTTGCTCAGATATGCTTCACCTAAGTTTCCAATCACATAATTGATGTATCCAAATGTGGATCAGGTTGTGCATCTCAATTTATGATGGTGGCTAGGGTTTTGAGAGTGCAGGTTTCACTATATTGTGGCCGCAGACACTTCAGTGTTGAGTTAGCTAACTTTCCAGGGCTTGTTTACCTTCCCAGTAGTGCTGAAACCAATAATATTATATAATCTAATGTTTGAGGAAAAATCTACAATTTTGTTGTTTATGAAAATAGCATAACTTTTATCACAATTGATTCATAGCCCCATAAATGGCTGCACGGTGGCTCAGTATGGGCAGCACGGTGGCTCAGTAGTTAGCACTGCTGCCTCACAGCACTGGGGACTCGTGTTTGATTCCACTCTCCTGCTATATTCTTTAGCACTTTTGCTTTTCCAAACATTGCTCAAATTTGGCTTGACTTTTACTCCTGCATGCTACCTAAATCAAGTATTTCTTATTCCAAGATGCTACAGAATCAACCAGTTCCTGAAATGAATACTTTAATTGTATACATTATTATATTTTATGTTGTATAATATGTTTAATGTACTGCTGTTGAGAATTGTTTAAACATTACAAAATTTGCTTGGTTATTTTAGCCTGTGCAAATCAGATTGGAAATATATGCTCAATCATTATTTGACTATGGTTATATTAGAAATCCTATTTAAACTTCCAGTAGTGTGAGATTTACTGTAATCAAGACTACTGTTGGATGGAATACATTGTCTCTACATGGAGAAAGGCAAACAATTTGGGTTTTAGAATGTAAATATGTGGATTGATTATGGAATCTAAACTCAGATTCCATAATAAAAACTGCATAATTAGACAACACAAAACATAGTGAGGGAGGACAGACAGTACAGTCCTTAACCCCAGATCATTCTAAATATTATTCTCCAATATTGCAACTCAATATTTAATAGTTTACTTAAGAACTGACAGTACTGAATCAAACAATACGAATTCAAGTAGCCCCAGGGTTTGGGTTTTTAACTTAAAACTTTCTGTTGGTTAACTTTTTAAGTTACTTGTGTAACATGATGTTAAATATTAGGTTTAAAGTAATTCCAGTGACATTTGGATAATAGCCTTAACTATTTCGGTCAACTTCAGATTAATATTTTTATAATCAGAAAAATTAGACTGCCTTTTGAATTTTTCTCATACTTTTTTTTAAAAAACAGTGAAGATATCTAAAAGTGTATCTGTAAAATGGCTCAATGGATCATCAAGAGACGTCAAAGCACTTTACAACTAGGGGATAACCTATGACTTGTAATCAGTCGTAATATGGAAAAATGCACAGCCATTACATGCATAGCTACATCCCTCAAACAATAAATGAAAAGTTAACCAATTAATTTAATTCTTGTGTAGTGTCAGCTGAGGGAGAAACATTGGACATGAATCACCTTTGAATTTTTTCTTAAATTCATTGATGAGATCTGGGTGTCATTGGCTGGGCCAGCATTTATAGCCAATTCCTAGTTGTCCTTGAGAAGATGGTGATGAGCTGCCTTCTTGAACCACTGCTGTACATTTGGTATAGGTACACCCACAATGTTGTTAGGGAGGGAGTTCTGGGACTTTGACCCAGCGACACTGAAGGAAGGTGGTATATTTCGAAATCTGGATGGTGAGTGGCGTGAATGGGAAATTGCAGGTGGTGGTGTTTCCATATTTCACTGCACCTGTCCTTCTAAGCAGCAAGTGCTCAGTAGACTTGCTGAATTTCTGGACTGAAACTTGTGCATAGTACAGGCTGCTGCTTTTGAGCATAGGTATTGGAGGGAGTGAATATTTGCTAACATGGTGCCAATCTAGTGAGCTGTCTTGAACTGGATGGTTTCAAGCTTATTGAGAGTTGTGGGAACTGCAGTCATCAACTGCAGGCAAATGGGGATATTCAATCATACTCCTGACTTGGGCCTTTCAATGGTTGACAGGCTCTGGGGAGTTAGGAGGGGAGTTACTTAGTCCGTGATTCCTAGCCTCTGGCCTGCTATAGAAACCAAAGGACTTATATTACCAGTCCACTTCAGTTTCTGGTCTTTGGTAACCCACATGATGTTTATAATGGGGGAAACAGTGATGGTGATATCATTGAATGTCAAGGAGTCATGGCTAGATTCTGTGTTATTGGAGACAGTCATTTCCTGGCACTTGGATGATGTGAATACTACTCCTTAGATATTGTCTAGATCTTGCTGCATTTGGGTATGGACTGCCTCAATATCTAAGGAGTCACGAATGGTGCTGAACATTCCCATTTCTGACCTTCCAATGGAGAGAATGTCATTAATGAAGCAGCTGAAGATGGTTGGGCCTAGGACACTATCCTGAGGAAACTCTGTAGCGATGTCCTGGAACTGAAACAATGGAAACCCAACCACCACAACCATCTTTCTTTGTGTCAGGTATGACTCCAACCAGTACAGAGTTTCCCCTCGATTCTTATTGATTCCAGTTTTGCTGGAGTTTTTTGAAGCCACATTCAGTCAAATAAGCCTTGGTGTCCTGGGCAGTCACTCACTTCACCTCTAGAAAACAGCTCTTTTATACTTTTGGACTAAAGTTGCAATGAGGTCAGCAGCATAACCTAGGTGTCAGTGCATAAACTGCCAGAGCATAAACTAGGTGTCAGTGAGCAGGTTATTGCTGAGCTAGTGATGATTAATAGAACTGTTGATGACACCTTCCATCGCTTTACTGATGATTGAGAGTAGACTGATGATGTGGTTATTGACTGGGTTGGATTTGTCCTGCTTTTTATGTACAGGACATACACGGGCAATTTGCTACATGGCTGTGTTGATCCCAGTGTTGAATTTGTACCGGAACAGCTTGACTACAGACTCAGCAAGTTCTGGAGCACTGGTCTCTAGCACTATTGCTGAATGTTGTCAGGGCTCATAGTCTTTGCAGTATCCAGTATCGCCAAGTGTTTCTTGATATCACATGAAGTGAATCAAATTGGCTGAGGGCCAGCACCTGTATCACTGGGGACCACTGGAGGAGGCCGAGATGGATCATTCACATGGCACTTCTGGCTGAAGATTCATGCGAATGCTTCAGACATATATTTTGCATTGATGATCAGGGCTTCCCCATTACTGAGGATGGGATGTTTGTGCAGTCTCCTCCGTGAGCTGTTTAACTGTCCACCACCATTCAAGACTAGATGTGGCAGAACTGCAAAGCTTTAGATCTAATGTGTTGATTGCGAAATTGCTTAGGTCTGTCTATTGATTGCTGTTTATGATGTCGAGCATGCAAGCAGTCCTGCTTTGAACAGGTTGACAACTCATTCTTAGGTATGCTGTCTTGCCCTCCTGAATCAGGGTTAATTTCCTGGCTTGTTGGTAATGGTAGAGTGGGGCATATGCCAAGCCACAAAGTTGCAAATTGTGTTGGAGTACAATTTGGCTGCTGTGGATTGCCCAGCGCACCTTAAGGATGCCCAGTTACTAGATGTATTTGAAGTCTATCCCACTTGGCACGGTTATATAAATGAAGGGGATATTCTATTTCCATTGGAGTAGGAACACAGTGCCTCTGTTGAAAGATGGTACCCCCAACAACGTTCTCATTATGTTATCTAACTTTTGTAGATAAATCTGTAGTGAGTCTTAATGCTACATCCAAGTCAAACTAACATTAACCAGATTCATTCAGTTGGTGAGCAGCATGACTTTTGTAAAGCTGCAGTGAAATTCCAGAAACTAAACTATATTCTAAAGAAGCACTTAAGTTTCCATCATCACCAGAAATCTGCATTGCCTTGATCAAGTATTGTTCAAGTATTGTTTGAGTCCCAAACAAACAAGTTAACTGAGAAGAACTTTGCTGGTAGAACTGCATGATGCACTGCAGCTAAACAAGATCAATTACCTATTTATAATCAACGAAAGTGGCCATTTCACAACATAATCAAAGGAGAAAGCTTCCAGGCCAGTAAGAGCAATCTCTGTTGGATCTGCATTGATGATAGCTTTTTCCTGTTTGGTTTCAATAGCCAGAACCCGCAGCAGCTGAGTGATGAGGTCATGTGGCATTAGATTAATCTGCAGAGGAATAAAATCATTACTCAGTTTCATCTACTGAATCAAAAACTCAGACAACTGGCAGAGAAAGTAATGTAAGATTTTGATTAATAAAGCTGTATAGGAATACAGTTTAAGCAATAGTTTTAATAGTTAAGATCACAGAACATACGACCATAAAATTTAGCAGAAGTAGGCCATTCAGCCCATTGAATCTGTTTTGCAATTAAATGAGATTATGACTGATCTGATAACCCTCAATTCCACTTTCCTGCTTTCTCCCCTTAACTCACTGATTCCCTTACTGATTAAAATCTGTCAATCTCACCTTTGAATATACTTAACAATACAGCATTGAAAGCCCCCTACAATAAAAAAATTTCATAGATTCACTATCCTCAGAGAAGAAATTCCTCCTGTTTTAAATGGATGACTCCTCATTCTGAGATTATGCCCTTTGGGACCAGAGTCTAAAACATGGAAATAACCTCTCTGCATCTACACTGTTAACCAATGCCCCCACCACCGCCACCGCAACCCCCACAACCACAACCACCCCACCAGCGCAAGAATCTTTATATTTCAAAGAGATTGCCTCTCATTTTCTAAATTCCAGTTAGTACAGGTCCATCCTATTCAATCTCTCCCCATGAGCCAGTTCATACCCAGTATCAGCATAGTGAATGTTCTCTCGCTGCCTCCAATGCCAATATTTGTTTCCAACACCCAAAACTGGTCACAGCGTTCCAGCTGTAATCTGACTAGTGCCTTGTACAGTTTTACCAAAACCTCCCTACTTTTGTACTCCATTTCTTTTGAAATAAATACCAACATTCTATTTGCCTTTCCTATTACCTGCAGAACTTGGCTAACATTTGTGATTCCCAAAGCCCTCTGTGCTGTTGCTTTCTGCATTTCTCTATTTAAATAATATTCAGCTCTTCTCTTCTTCCTGCCAAGTTCATAACCTCACATTTTCCCACATCACATTTCACTGACATGTTTTTGCTTTGATTATTCTGTTTATATCCCTATGCAGGCTCTTGGTGTCATCCACATTACATGCCTTCCACCTAATTTTGTGTCATCCACAAACTTGGCTACACTCACACTTTACTCATGCATGTATGTTGTAAATAATTGTGGCCCCAGCACTGGTCCCTGTAGCACTCCACTAGTTACAGGTTGCCATCCTGGAATGCCCTCTGCCTTATCTCAACCCTTCTCTATTAGCCAAATCTCTATCCTTGCTAATATACTACCTCCAACATTATGAGCTCTTACCTTACTAAGTAGCCTAACACGTAATACTTTATCAAAAGCTTTCTGCAAATCCAAACATATCCCATCCACCACCACCTCTTTATCTATCTGCTTGTTGTCTCTTTAAAGAATTATATTAAATTTGTGAGGCACGATTTCCCCTTCATGAAGCCATGCTGACTCTGCTTGATCATATTACGTACTTTTAAATGCTCTGCTATTACATTCTTGGTAATAGGCTAACATTTTCCCATACACGTTGAGATAACTGGCCTATTGTTACCTGTTTTTTGTCTCCGTCACTTTTTAAAAAGAGTTGTTAGAGGAACAGTTTTCCAAACTTTTAGAACTTTTCCAGAATCTAGGATTCTTGGAAGATTACTATCTGTGTACCTAATATCCCGGTATCTACCTCCTTTCATATCCTAGGTTAATTCCCATCAAGACCGGGACCTATCAGTCTTTGGCCCCGTAATTTTCCGAAGCACTTTTTCTCTAGCGATAATTTTTTGTATTTATTTCCACTCCTCCCTTTTCCCTTGATTATTTAGCAATTTTGGAATGCTTTCAGTGCCTTCTACTGTGAAGACTGATGCAAATTATTTATGCAACTTCCCTGCCATTTCCTGGTTTCCCCATTATTATTTCCTCAACCTCATTCTTTATTTGGCCTAATTCACTTTGGCTGCTCTCTTCCTTTTTATGTATTTAAAGAAGTTTTTGATATTATCAAAGTTAAGACCACAGATTTATTAAATGCTTTGCAAAACTACACAAATTTAGCAGATCCTCAACATTGAGGCTGAACCTTTTAAATAGTTATTTAATTCCTTCTTTGTTTACAATATACATTTGAACAAATGATGACAGCGAGAGAAAGTTTTGGGGCACTAAAAAGCAAATAAAGTGTGAAAAATGGTTGTACACCTGTCTGTTTGAAGTTTGGAAGTGTTTGTGAAAGGAAGGAATATATTAAACATGTAATAGCAAAGCATTTAAAAATGCATAATATAATCAAACAGAATCAGCATAGCTTCATGAAGGGGAAATCATGCCTGACATATTTATTAGACTGTTTTGAGGTGGTAACAAGTGGGATGGATAAAGACGAACCAGTAGATGTAATACAATTGGATTTTTGAAACATACTCAATAAACATATCATGCACAAGGCTACTTAATAGTCTATGGTGTTGGGATAGTACTTGAGCATGAATAAAGAATTGGCTAACTAATAGAGGACAAAGTTTGGATAAAGGGGAAATTTTCAAAATGACCTCAGTTTCTTAAAGTAATTTATTGGTGCTGTTTCTGCAATGATTTATGGCAAAGAATTTCACTATCAACTTGTGTATAAAGATTGTTGTCTTCAACCAGTAGAAACCATCTATTTCGTTACTTACTGCATCACAACCCCTCATCATATCAAAAAATTCTATTAGGTCATCCTTAAATCTTCTCAGCTCAAGTACAAAATATCCAGTTTCTCAAGTTTCTTTTCAGAATTAAGTTCTCAACCCTCACAACGTCGTAAATAATTTACAGCTCCTTTTAAATGCCCCACCTAAAATGAAGTATCAAAACTGTACATAACACTATTATGTAATATCTTGCACAAAAATGTCTCCTCTTGCTTTTGCATTTAGATACAAAATTAAGACTTCTTTTTCCATTGAAAATTTAACAAACTCAGATACCTTTCCTTTCTCTGAAGTGGTAATTTTAAAAAGACATTACATTGCATCTGTCACATATCAGCCTATCATGTTAGGTTATGCCCTTCTGCAGTTTCATATGATCCTCATGACAAATTGACACAATCCTTATGACAAAATCCCACTGTTCCAATTTCAGAGCTTCCCCAATTGTAGGTCACAACCTAGGGATTTTGGTGTTGTGATTTCTAAAATAACAACGGTCACCATGGTGCTCTGCTTGCCTGTGCGAGTTCAGCTCCAAAAAACACGCAGGAAGTTCGATCCTATCTGGAACAAAGCAGTCCGCTTTATTGGTACCCTATCCACCACTGCCTTAAATGTTCACTTCCTCCGCCACCGACACACAGTAGCTGTGCATCACGTATTGCAACAAATCAACACTGGCTCTTTTCATCCAAGCATGCTACCTCCATCATCTAATAGAAAGGGAGCAGATGCAGGAACACCACCAGCTGCATATTCCTGACATGGGACTACACCATTGTTCGCTCACTGGGTCAAAGTCCTGGATTTCCCTTTCTGGCAGCACTGACAGTGTACCAACATTACATAGATGCATCAGTTCAAGGCAACAGATAACTAACACCTTTGATGGTTAATTGGCTGAGCCAGCAATGGCAACAACCCACGAAAGGGTTAGGAAAGAAAATTGTGAAGGTTCCATCCCTTTATTTTCTCTCGGTGTCTTAGGAGATACAAACAAGCGGGGCCTTTTTTTTGAGGGTGTGTGGTAAGTGGGTAATATTTCTAAGTATACACAGCTTTCTGATATTGAATAGAATTCCGTTATATGGGCCGTTGAGCTGTCCTAATACATAATCTACTCAGATGCTCAAAATTATTTCAATATTCCTGAACGTGTCCAGTGAATAACAATACTAACTTGTTTTCGGCTCAGAAATTGTTCTGCACTGTTCACAAAGCTTAAATTATTATAGGATTTGCCTAATAATTCCACCAAGTACACTGTTAATAGAGGCTCATTCTGAATTTATTAGAATTAAACACTTTTCCACAGCCCTTACATTAACAGGAGTTATTTTTAAGGTTCCATTAATTATGCTCCAACACACCTTCAAATCATCTTTAAATGGGTCAGTGTTGGCCGTGCTCATTCTCAGTGCCAGTTCCAGCAGGGCTTCTAGTCTGGTAGGAATAATGTCATCTACAGACTTTTTCAGCTCCTCTTCCGTAAGGTCCATGAAGTGGACAAAGAAATCCCCTTGGTCCATGAGGAAATAGTGCTTTATTGACCTGGAGAAATAATAATCAACACAGCAAGCATTTTATTGAAGAACCATATTGATGAATGCATGTTGTTTTTATAGTGCAGTACAGCATAATGATAATTTTCAAGCATAAAACCCGACTAAGGATGACAAAATACATTTGGAAGCAATTTACTCAGTCTTATTATGTTAGCACAGAACACGTAATGAAATACAGCTTTTGACAATGTACGTTAAAATTAATTTGCCTCAAAACTTCTTGAGCAATATCCCTCATTCCCTACTAGACAACAAGTCACAATTAAAGGGGCTTCCAAACAGATTAGACAGGATTAGGACAGAATGGGTACCAATACCAATCAATCAATCATTATATTGCTAAATTCAGTTAACTAAGAGTCATATCAGGGGAACTGAGAAAAATAAAGACACTGTCAATTTTCTTCTTGGAAATTCAAATAAACATTACAGAAACAAATCTATGACTTGCAGTACTTCTATGTAGTACAGTTTAATAGTATCTTCTTTTTTTTAAATTGCCTGTCAACAAACTAACCTTGCCTGAACTGCTTTTAAAACAAATCAACTGTAGTATTCAGCACAGGGATTACAACCCTTTATAGGGTTCAAAACGAATTCTGCTTTTAGGATTTTATGAAAAACTTTTCTTTGGACAAGTGTAAAACTCTCAAACTACATTCATCTTCTTAGAGGTACAATGCGAATTAGGATTAGGAATAGGCCGCTCAGTCCTCGATTCTGCCCTGCCATGTTGTTTCAATTGGATGGTTAGTGCTGACAAATAGAGTGCCTTTAATCAGTCATTATATTTGCAGACTTGTGAACAAAAAAAGAGCCCTCAACATTCAAACCACATTTTGACAATAAACCTATCTTTGTATTTGGCTGAGCAAAACAATGAGATTTTTACAGAAGGGAGGAAGCTTCACAATGCACAGGTGTTATTCTTTATGTTCTTTACGATCAAGAAATATAATACTTCAGCTTGCATTTGATATATATAGTTGAGGATTTGCAAATTTGGGAAACGCAAAAAGCAGACTGCCAGCTACAGTGGACAAAAGAATGTTGCATCAACTAGTCAGTCATGAAGGAATTCTGCTAGTACAGCTAATTTATGTAAACATCATAAACA